ATTGGAATTGTGAAACCCTAATTTACTTGAAATGTGTGTTTTTTCTAAAAAACAAATAGCTTCTTTGCTTTCAATGAGAATCATCTTAGGATCACAATTTCTTTTTTAAGAATCAATTCATCTGTAGCTGTCAACGCAATAAATTTGCTCCCCAAGATTCCTTATTCTTTTTTCTTTCTTTATCTTTTAAAAAAATTTAATTAGTTTTCACGTGTGTGATGTCAGAAAATTGAGGTATCATCTTCCTTATGCTTTTGCTTTACTTAAAAACACAATCTCATTAAAATAACAATCAAATTTGCCAAAATTAGTGTTTTTGTTACTTCATCTGTCTTTATCATAAAAAAAAACATTAACATTTTTTAGTTTTTATTCTTTTCTTTGCTTTAAAAAGTTACCTTCCGTACCTTTTTGTTTGATGTCTTAGTTAAAAAAATTATCACATTAATTGTTAGTTTGCACAAAAAATGAAGCATTAAATTTTCCTTTTCCTGATCACTAGTATAGACATTAAGCATTTATTACTGAGAGAAAATAGAAAAGAAAATTCTCTCGCATGTACTTGATATTAATCACTTGAATTAATTTGGTTTTGCTGAATTTTTAATCGAAAAGTATCCTTAACAGAGTATTTGTAGTTTTTTATTTTCGTTTTCCTTTTTACGTCACAAGAAATATATATATATATATATATATATATATATATATATATATATATAATTGAAGATAAGGTGAAAATGAAAATTAAAGTGATAGAAGAGAACTAATATTCTCTTTCATTTATATCTTCTCGAAAAAAAGTATCCAAGTGATTCTTTTATTGGAAATTTTGAATATAAATTAGTTATGTTTTTTATAATTTATCTTTATTCTTTCTGTTTCTTTAGCCTTTGTAATAAAGGGGTATTTTTTGTGTATCATTTTAAAAATATGAAGATAGTATAATATTCTCCTAGTTATATTTTTCTTTTCTTTTTTATTACGTTTTGCAAATTGATTGAATATTAATTAAAAAATTAAAAATTTATAATCTATCACTTATTTAAAATTACATTACAAGTATTTTCCTTTAATAATATTTTCACGTAATAGTAAATGAAAATTGTTTTTTAGAAGTATCAATTTAGGTGAGATATCAAATAAATTATATAATGATACTTAATATAATTTTAAAAAATGTAATCGATGTTTTGAAATTTGAAATTGTAATTTGATACTATACAGGTATGAATATTCTTTTACAAAACCCAAAATATTTGATAAAAACAAGTTATAAAAATAATAGATAAAAATTAAATTTGTAGCAGATACATTTATGATAGTTCAGGATGAGATTAAATGGGATGGTGAGCATTTTATTACAACTTTTTTGTGGGAAACATTAGTGTCAGATTGTTGAGTTATGAGATCCAATGACATTGTCTGTTCTGAAAAAACGAGATATGTGTCTATGCTTCACTTATTTTGTCTCAAAAAGAGTACAGTGGTTTTTAATTTGTTTGCATATTGCTTCAGGTACCCACTGATCAACCTTGTGTGGCACTAGAAATGGTGGGTGCAATTACACAGTCACCAGCCACTTGACATTTCCATGGAAAATAAATAATAAGATTACAGTTTGGAAGATGGAGCAGGGTACAAAAAAGACCCAACAAACAAACTAGAATAGGATCAAGCATTGGATTGCAATAAAGAAATCAACTCATTACACTGATGCTATTTATTGTTAATTTGCTTTACCATATATCTCTTTGTCTAATGTCTTTTATTTTTCATCTAATCATATCTATAAGATCTAATTGCGTAATTAATTTAATTGATACTGATAATTTTTTAAAACTTATCCTTGCTCTTATTATATTTGTAAAATGTCATCCTTTACTATTTTAAATATTAATAAATACTTTATACAAAAAATTAAAGTCATAATAAAAAATATAATATTATCAAATATTCATAATTACATATATATTTAATATCAAATATTAATAAAGAAATTCTAATTATATAAATATCAAGCAAAAATACAAAATAATAATTGAATAAATGTTAAATGATTATAAAAAAGAGTATAAATGAATAAGTTACCAAAATAAAGATGAAAGAAAAATTAATATAATTTTTTTAGTTATCAAAGATGTTTTAATAATTTAAAATAAATTTATTATTTTATCTATTATTAGGCTATTATAGGATTATTTATTAATCTTTAGTACTTTGAGATTTATATAGTTAGGGGTGAGAAAGATGTGATGAAAGTTTCATATCCATCATGAATAAAGTAATTTAGTGAGTGATAATCTATTTTAAAGTTTAATTCAATTTATCAAATTGAATTTTAAAGTAAAATTTACACTCATTTATATATTATAAATGATAAATAGTTAACGTGAAACTTTCAATACACTCTCTGGTTACGAGACATTAATGAGGGATCATAATAGTATGATAACGGTTGAAATAATAAATCTAAAAATAATAAATTTTGTCGTGATACTTTAACACATGAATTTAATACAATATTAAAAAATAAATTTTAAACTTAACTCAATTTCATAAAACAATGTTATAAAATAAAATAAAACTTACATCTATTTTATGCATTATAATCTAGACCTATAATATGTTAATATTGCAAATATTCATGAATATTTTCATCTTCATTTCTAATTTTAAAAAATTAAATATTAATTATATTCATTATTGAAAAGAAATTATCAATAAGACGAATTCATAAAGGAAATATATGTAAAAAAATAAATTTATTTGTCTTCTCTACGAAGCTCGGACTTTACTTTGAACATCCTGAAAGGAACTAGACAGATCTATGGTATCTAATATCTCACGAATTCCAAAAAGAACAAAGGTTTTTTCTGTCAAGGGACATAGTCAGGACCACTCTTATTGATTGAGGCCAATTTACACTACCTGTCTTTTATTTTCTTATCTATTTCTTATAAGAAGTATCTCACCATTTACCTCTACCAACTTATATACATGTGTCCATAAACAATTACTTACTCTAAAAGTTGTTATAAAGGTATAGATAACACTCTGACTTTTTTTAGCATAGTGCAATGTCTTAGATTATCCAATTCACCATTTTTCTATTTGGGATCAATTCATTATATAAATACGCATCATCCTTTCAAGTCGAGCTAGGTCACACTTAGTAAAATGTCCAACTCTATACAGAATGATCTTGAGTCCATGACTAGCTATACCACCAATCTCGTGACATTATGAATCATACTCTTTCAATTACTTTTCTATTGGTGTTATAATAACTCCTTTTTTATTTCATAACACCAATGAGTAGTTAAATAATTTTTTAAAAAAGAAGGGACATAAATGCTATTAATTAACGTTTTTATAAAACTATACCACTTAGGATATTTCATTATTGTAAATCATTTCATGATATTGATATGGCTGGAAAACAAAGTATACAAGTAAAGAGATAATATTTACTTTAGAAATTGATTTTGTAAACTTAAGTAAACGTAAACCGGTATTAGAATTTATCTTCACAGCTATGATTAGGTCACTCGCTTCTGCATCAAATTTAGACTTTTGTGTAACTTCCTTGTTCTTTATCTATTATCGGGTTATACACGATGATATCCTTTCAAAACAGTATTGTTTAAGTTTAACTCCTTGGCGCAGCCAAGGAAGTTGAAGTTGAAGTTAGCAGTATAAGAAAGTTCAAGTAGCTCTTCTTTTATCCCTTTCGTTCTCTGTGGCCTATGGGCCACTAGCTGTCTGCTTATCTTTTGTTCCCTCTCATTCTGTGCGGCAAAATTTCTTGAAGAAGAATAAAGCACCCATCTATTGTGAAAATGACAAGACCACCATGGAATTTGAGATTGTCTCCTCTGTGTAAGTGGGGTGCTTTTATATCTTAATTATTTATTTTATGTCGAAACTGGAGTCAACAAACAAGTTAGAACAGGATGACACAGAGAGAAACAACAACTCAGTGGAAAGAGATAACAGTGTTTCTTACTTAAAAAATAAGACTCCTTAATATTTTCATATTAACTAATTTTTTGAAAAACCAATATAGTTACTTTATGTTACTTTTTAAAGAGTGTAACATTACGTTGGAAAATAAACCAATTTAATGTATTCAAATTGGTATCTTTCTTTTTTGTTAACGTTTCGTCCTTGTTTGCCGTTTATCATGCAGGGTCATTCTTCTTTTACATCCGCAAAATCATATATAACTTTTTAAACTCGAACGTACATTTGTCTTTCGGTTTTCTTCCTAAATAAGAAACACAATTACTTGTGATCGGATTCGTCTTGAAATAATAGTGTATTCCTTCAAATGTAAAATGTTCCGTTAACGTCTTTTGTTAAGAAAATGTTTTAGGAATATTTTATTTTTAATTTTAATTGAGTTCTGTTCCTTATTTTTAGGATTTAGTTAATTTTTTAATTATGGGTTAGAGTAGTGGATTAAAATTAGGATAAACGTATTAATGGGAAGTTTTGAATATTGCACCAGTTTCTTATTATTTTGAATTAATAATACAGAAGCATTTTAGCTTCAAGCGTGCTACTGTTTTTATTCTAAAAAAATCAATTGGTATCAGAGCTTTTTTCTCACAGGACTATAGAATGGATTCTGAAACAAGCTTCTCCCAAGCAACTCTTTCAATTTTCAATGGGGAAAACTATGATCTTTGGGATGTTAAAATGGAGGCTTACCTAGAACCTTTAAATCTTTGGAAATCCATAGAAGAAGATTATAAAATCCTTCCGCTACCTGACAATCCCACTGTGGCCCAGATCAAAAATCATAAAGAGAAGAAAACTCGAAAAGCAAAAGCAAAGTCATGTCTTTATGTTAGCATCTCTGCAACCATCTTTACCAGGATCATGACTCTCAAATCAGCAAAAGCAATTTGGGATTATCTGAAGAGAGAATATACTGGAGATGAAAATATTCGAAGCATGCAAGTGCTTAACTTGATGAGAGAATTTAACTTCAAAGGATGAAAGAGTCTGACACAATCAAGGAGTATTCAGACAATTTGTTGGGTATTGCCAACAAGATAAAATTATTTGGAAGTAATTTTGTAGATTCTAGAATTGTTGAGAAAATTTTGGTGACAGTACCAGAAAGGTATGAAGCATCTATTGCTTTTTTGGAAAATACAAAAGATATTTCTAAAATCACTCTTGTTGAAGTGATACATGCCTTCCAGGCCCAAGAGCAACGAAAATTGATGTGGGAAGATTATACTATTGAAGGTGCTCTTCTAGCCGTGAGCCAACAAGCAAAAAACTACAAGAATCATCCTACCAGCAATCAAAGCAGTGCAAATAATTACAACAAAGGAAAGGGTGAAAAGAAAAATTACCCTCCTTGTCAACACTGTGGCAAAATGGGTCACCCTCCTTTCAGATGTTGGAGGAGACCAGATGCTAAATGCATAAAGTGCAATCAACTGGGGCATGAAGCTGTCATATGCAAGAACCAACATCAGCAGCAGGAAGAAGACGCTCAAATTGCAAATGAAGAGGAGGAAGATCAACTTTTTGTTGCAACTTGTTTTTCAACCAATGCTTCAAGTGAATCTTGGTTAATTGATAAGGGTTGTACTAACCACATGACCTTTGACAAGACACTCTTTAGAGATATGAAATCAACTGATGTCACCAAAGTCGGAATAGGCAATGGTGATTATATCTAAGTCAAAGGAAAGGGGACAATTGCAATTACAAGTTGTGCAGGCACAAAATTTATTTTCGTTCCAGAAATTACAAAAATATTTTCTATGATGGGCAGGCATCAAGGGGTTGTTTAACACAACCCTTCATTTTGTGACCATGTATGACAAAAAATTAATACAATANAGCAATCAAAGCAGTGCAAATAATTACAACAAAGGAAAGGGTGAAAAGAAAAATTACCCTCCTTGTCAACACTGTGGCAAAATGGGTCACCCTCCTTTCAGATGTTGGAGGAGACCAGATGCTAAATGCATAAAGTGCAATCAACTGGGGCATGAAGCTGTCATATGCAAGAACCAACATCAGCAGCAGGAAGAAGACGCTCAAATTGCAAATGAAGAGGAGGAAGATCAACTTTTTGTTGCAACTTGTTTTTCAACCAATGCTTCAAGTGAATCTTGGTTAATTGATAAGGGTTGTACTAACCACATGACCTTTGACAAGACACTCTTTAGAGATATGAAATCAACTGATGTCACCAAAGTCGGAATAGGCAATGGTGATTATATCTAAGTCAAAGGAAAGGGGACAATTGCAATTACAAGTTGTGCAGGCACAAAATTTATTTTCGTTCCAGAAATTACAAAAATATTTTCTATGATGGGCAGGCATCAAGGGGTTGTTTAACACAACCCTTCATTTTGTGACCATGTATGACAAAAAATTAATACAATACTCGTGAAAAGTGTGATAGAAAAATTATTTAAAAAAAATAGATATAAACTATTTGTATAGCACTAGATTTGCGACTCAATATGTAATCTATCCTACCTGATGAAAAAAGTTATCGTCATTGATTTACTTCTTTTATAATGTAGCATGTATTTGAATCGACCTACTAGAAGATAATTACTTCTTTCCAGTTTTCTACTATTTAGTTGAAAATAATTTAAATTTTCTGAAATATACGTACATCTAAGAACAAAAAATTGATTTGTAAAACAACACAACTGTCCTAAGAATATTGATTATAGGTTTCAGTTTTGTTGATTTGAATATACTAAGATTTAGAGATATCCTAATCAATTGTAAAGTTATTTTGACTTTAAAGTTTAATTATTAGTTTGTATCTCTATTTGCACCTTTTTTACGTTTTTTTGTATATCTTAGGGATGAACTGTTTTAGTTCTTACACGTGCACTCTCAGTCATTTTAATCCTAGAAGTCAAGTGTCTTAACTCTTACACGTTCACTCTCAGTCAGTTTAATTCTAGAAGTCAAGCATCGCAATTTTTCTACAATTGTTATGTTTTCACAAATTACAACAAAAGCGAGAGCAAGAGAAGAGAAGTTGGCTGTAGGTGGCTAACAATATTATAACAGGTTCAGTTTTGTGAGATTCACCAGTAACAAAAGGAAGTTAAAGAAGGAACTAGACATTGTCATGACATCCCAAGGTTTAGAAACAAAGATAAAAAAGGGAGTCTACAACACAAAATGGTGGCTAGATCTTGGAAAATAACATCTCTACGCAGTTTGGGAAAGGAAAGGCCAAGGGCAAGTTTGACAAAAGAAAAACTAAGCAAAAGCCACAAGGAGAAGGTCCAGACTTGCACCACGAGGAGTAGTGTTAAGGAGGAAAGGTGGAAGGGGCAGATACGAGTGTTCAAGTGAAAGCCAATGTTGATCTCATCAATGGATGATGGGTCTCAAAAGGTTGTAATCATACCTGTCTCTTTTAGGATATGTAGAGCATATTTCTTTTAAAAGATTGCAACACCTTTTGACTGAGCTTACTTCAATACTTAATAAGTATGTGAGGCTTCCAAGATCCTTAGTTTAGAAATGTTTACACAAGTGATCCTTTAGCTGAGATATTTGGTTAGCATCATTTTCTATAATGACTATATCTTCAAGGGATACTATTACGTAGACACATTTTCTAAGAGGTGTGACACTAAAAGACTAAATGATTTGTTTCACAAGATTTCAGTCCAAAGGTTTGAACAATGTAGCTAAATTGTCCAAACCAAGCTCATGGTAATTGCTTGAGATCATAGCGAGAGCAGTGCAACTTACAAACCAAACTAAACTCCCTTTGAGCAACAAACTCAAGAAACTGCTCCAAGTAAACATTCTCCTCCAAATGACCATGGAGAAAAGCGTTTTTAATACCTAATTGATGAAGTGGTCAAATACGCATAACTGCCAGGACAAAGAAAAGATGAATAATAGTCATTACCGCCACGGGAGAAAATTATCATATAATCAAAGTCATAAATCTGAATGTATCCTTTGACAACTAAGTGTGCTTTAAGACCCTAAACTTCACCATCGGGGCAAAATTTAAGAATATAAACTCAGATTTTAAGCCTAACTCAACGCACAAAATCAACTTGTATGAAAATGTTTACACTAATTTATATACTACGAAATTGCCTTATCTCTAGCCAGTGATGAACTTCCAACACACCCTCCTCACATCGAGAAATATATATATATATATATATATATATATATATATATATATATATGGAACGTGAGACTAGACATTAATGGATAGTCTAATAGTGGTCCAATAATTGGTGGAATAATAGACCCAACAAATAACAAATCTTGCTAGGATAGACTTTAACGCATGACTTTGATACTATATTAAGAAGTTGAATTTTAGCCTAACTCAACCCTACAAAACTGGTTTGTAAGGTGAGATTTGCACCCATTTATATACTATGAAATCATCCAACTGTCTTCTTCCCAAGTGGAAGGTGAACAAACTCCCATGTGTTATTCTAGTCAAGAGCCTGCAATTATGAATTGTTGTCATCCAAAATGATCAAGTGCTTATTTCGCATTTTTGGGAATAGTAATAGAAGACAAAAATGATATAAAAGACCAATAGGAAGGAAACAATCCTATGATATCCAAGAAAACTATAAATTGGATGTGGACTACAATACAAACGAGTACCTTTTGGAAAGACAATGGGCCAAGATGAATCATCGAAGCTAGGACTCATGGTATTGAGTGACGACAAAGAAGAACTTAATGAAGAGGATTCACATTAGAGTAATGGATTAGTCATTTGGGTCTACGTTAGTAGCAAATAAGAGTAGGTGATGATGGTTCAAGAGGACTTTGAACATGATTGGAATTTTAAGGAGTGTGAGGCACAAAAGATTCAACTAACAAAATGGGGAGGCCTGTTGGACAGAGGAAGCATTTTGAACAGACAAAGAGAAGGACTTTGTTCAAAGAAAGTGACATTAACAAACATGTAATACTTCATGGTTTTTAGGAGAGTAACAACTGTTAAAAAGTGGACTTTAAGCCTAACTCAACCCGACAAAACCGGCTTGTAAGGTGAGGTTTGCACCCACTTATATATTCTAAATTGGTCTTATCTCTAGTCGATGTAGGATTTTCAACAGTAACAATATCCTTTTTTGAAGCCAATAATAGCCCAAGAAGACAAACTTGATAGCACAGGCAGAGAGTTTGTTGAAACTTGGAGACAAAACATACACAACCAAACATGTGGGGAGAAACATGAAAGAGAGGACCATTTGGAAAAAGAATGGAATAAGGAACTTCATTGTTGAGAGAAGAGGGCAACATTTTGATAATAAGAAAACAAGTAGTTAAGATAGCATCGTCCAGAGTGGATAAGTATATTGGCACCAAGCAATAAGGTATGGACAATCTCAACCAAGTGCCTATTTTTTTTTCTGCAATATCATTTTGCTGAGTTGTGTGAGGAAAGGTAAACAAATGCCGTGTGAACTTAAAACTGCAGAGAAATTAGAGAAGTACTCTTTTGGCATTGTCACTCAGTAAAATGTTAAGATAAATAAAAAACTATATTTGAGAGAACTTGAGAGAGCTAATCAATCTACTCATTTTTATACTATTTATATTGATAGAATTCTGATACAAAGAATATAGGGAAGAGTAAAGATCAAACTAGAGTCCTAGGTACAGAGATGGGTACAACTCATGGGTACAATACATTGCAGCTTTCCAATACAACTGCTTCCTACTTATATTTAACACATATTCTAACAGTGTGGTTAGTTGGTGGGTTACTTTTTCAGTTTGGTATGTGGTTGTATATTGTTTGTGGTATGTCTTTTATCACATCGCCTTTCTAATATAATATATCTTGATTTGATGATCAAAATAAATAGCCACAAATTTGTTATCAAAGAGACCACTTACGGTAGTAGTTTTGTCACAATTTTACTTAGTAGAATCAAAACAGAAATAAAAATGCAAATAACATGGTAAAAAAAAACGAGCTGTTGTCTTCCCTAACTTTCTCTCTATCTAGCCAGTCTCCTTATGTTCTCTAGCGTCTTGTCCTGTCTTTGGCCATTCTTGCAAATCTAACATTCACATCCTAACTTGAAATAGTTCATCACAGGTATAGACCGGATATAATATGGGAGAACCAACAATTAAATGGATATTACTTCATTTTCTGGTAACTAAAGTTTATACTACTGACCCAAAAAATATAATGAGGCCCAAAATATAAAAAGACCAAGAATGGATACATTCAAGTTGTGTTTCAACATTAGTACATCACTCTTCAATCTTCATAGGCATAAATCATGCTAAAATTTATTAATAGTTAGAAAATGATAGATACAAAATTTTTGTATGATAATTCACTCACATTACGTTCCACTAAAATAGGAATATGTGCAAATTGTGCGCCTTTGATAGAAGAGGATGCGAATAATCTAGAAGGTGGTGATCAGTTACCCCAATTACCAGAAAGAAAAAAAAATATTTATATATATATATTAAAGTAAAATTATGGTACAATTACATCTTATTTTCAGAGGACTATCTACAAGACACCAAAGTACAGATTTGGAAAATACTCCATAATTAATAGGGGATCATATGCCAAGTAATATGCAATACCTTTATACGGAGCTCTGCCAAAAATGAAAGACAATTGGGAAAAGGAGCAGAAGATTCTATATGCCTTACTTGCACGATAGAAGACAGCTACTCATTCAATCTTTTCCAGTATATCCAACCTGGTTTTCCTCTTCCAACCTTTCATAGTGGCAACAAGGTTGATCAGTCCAATAATCTGGCTTTTAGTGTATTCCTGCAAGAGTTGGAATGCTTAGTTAAAACCTCAAGGCAATCAGATGTGTATCGATGCTGCGGAAAGGGGATATCCTTACTGGGTGTGCTCGAGCCCAGTGCACATATTCTGTCTCGGGAAGGTAGTAAGCCTGGTTTAAAAGTCCAAGACGTGTATTAGTAATAAATGCATATCGCGTACGATGGAAGTTTCAAACATGTGAGATCCCAACTTATTTGTATAACAGGTAGGCAACAAAACCCAACCAATTCCGCAATGTGGAAAAATTCATCTGTATATATGCAACAAAATAGTGGGAATGTGTTTCCTATTACTTCGTTGTTACCTTGATGAAAGTTTCAACCATTTGAAGCTTGGGCTTCACATTCACTGACACAAAATGCTGTAATCCATTAATCAAAACCTGAAATGTCAAAAGACACAAATTCAAACCCAGCATATAAAAACTAAAACAGAATAAATGACACGGTAAGAAGGTCGATCAATTTATAGATCATTGTCTGCAACTCTACGTTACAAAAGAATTAAGTCCCAAACAAATTTGACACATTAAGATTCAATTGCTAGTAAGGTCTAAAAATAATTTAAACAGTGGCAAAATATGTCTCATAACTTAATAGTTTATGAAGATTAAATTATGTTTGCATAACTATTTAACATAATAATCGACTACATTAAATCAAAATCCAAACAAACATTGAAAGGACTTGAAAATGATCATATATTTAAGGAATAACCTGAAGATCTAATGACATAAGAGCTCGTCCTTCATCACTGCATCTCTTCACCCTTGAAAGTCCTTCAACAAGAGTTTCTGCCACAATTTCAAGCCCATAATCCAATAATAGGCCTTGAATCTACACATACAGATGCAAATTTTGTGGATAAAAACTAATGTTTAAACACAAGGGATTACTTTTCTGTTTTATTCTTTTCAACGATATAAAAGTGGACATTTCAAATAGAAGTCTTTATTCATTTAGTAAGCTGATTTGTTTGCACTTAATAACTGTCTCCCAAGATAATGAATAACAACAATACCTCTATACGAATTCCTCCATGAGCAAGTCTTGTTTTATAGTGCTTAAACTCCCCCAGCAACAAATCAACATATCTATCAATACAATCTACAAGTCAGAAGTGCAGAAATGACGCACCATAATTCCAAGATAAAATTCAGGCAAAATAGAAACGTTTACCTCTATAGCCTATAACTATATTTGCAGCTAAATAACACTAGCAACAACAACCTAGCCTTTTCCTAATAAGTGGGAGGGACCATTTGCATGGATAAGATGGTTCGAGATTTTACATCAACTAGAAATATATCTAAATTAAGGTACACAAGAGTAGGACAATCCCATCTCATAAACTGGTTTTGTGGAGTTAAGGTATATTCTAACCCAAATTCTAAAAGAAGTGATTCCATAATGTTCCATTTTAATCATGTCTATAAACTATTCATTGACCTCTTAATCTTAATGGTTTTACCTTTTTAATCTCTTTCTGTTTTCAATGATAGGTCTACCCTCCATTTGATTTATTTCTCCACAAAAGCACAAACAATGCCAACATCCTACTATTATTTTACAAATTCGGTGCTACCTCAACTTTTCTCAAATGCATTCATTGCTATTCATAGCATGTCTAGCACACCATCTCATTCAACATAGGATTCTCTCCATCACATTGACATTATTTTCTTTTTGAAATTTTTTCTCCCAACACTCAGTTTGATGTAACATTGCAAGTTGAATAGCTATACAGTAAATTTTTTCCTTAAGCTTGAACATTACCTTTTTGTCACTGATGGAAATAGGGATGGGAAAGAAGAGAAAAAAAATTATTGAATAGCGTGAAAAGAACATGGAATAAGAGAAAAATCTCACCTTCAAGGGTTTCTCATTTACAACGAGCTAACACTCGATATAAAAATGACAAGACATCTGAATCTATGCTTAAATCTTTCTTCTCCTATTTATATCTGTTAGTTCCTCTAATTAACTAACTATTGTTCTAAACTCCCATTCTCCTTATATCTTAACAGTAACACTCAAGGCACTCATCCGTTTACCCACTCCACTTAAATCCTTTGATTTTCCACATCACTCTCAATTACTCCATCTTGTCACTGATGGACCTAAGAAAGATGCATAAGCTTCTAAAGCTTGTCTCTGTTAAGAAGTGAACTTTAAGCCTAACTCAACCCTACAAAACTGGCTTGTAAGGTGAGGTTTGCATCCACTTATATATTATAAATTGACCTTATC